GTCAAATTGGATAAACCTTACACACCTGAGATGCAGTTTACCTATCAATCCTTCCGAATTTTTCAGTCGCATCAATAGCATGCCGGATTTGATTCATCTTGATATACTAATTCCGAACTACTCGAATAATATCGATAACTTTTTTGGGTCGCTCTGCAAGGTGTACACAGCACCGTTTACACCAAAAATTGGAAATTTGAGCATTGCTGCGAGCAGTTTTGGTCCAATTAAGGTGGACAAGCATGGCATACAGGCACTGAAATTTCTTTTTCCGCATCTCAAGTGTCTCAAGATCAATAGCAATGTTTGCAACTAAGTTTTCTACACAATAACACATTTTTGGCATTTAAATACAAAAAACTTTGCCGGCTGCAAAAAAATCCAAAAATACTGACAGCTCACTAACGAAAAAACGCAGAAAGAAAGCCCCGCATCGCAAAAGAAAAGGTCTTACCGAGATTCGAACTCGGGTTGTCCGGATCAAAACCGGAAGTGATAACCACTACACTATAAGACCTCTTTAGTCACATGACTTGGGCAACCAATTGAAGCAAAGCTTCAACTAGGATAGTGAAAGCCATCAGTTTAGTGGCTACAAGTACCAAATGCTGCTATTTTGCAAAAGCGTGATGGCCACAACCATGCAAACGCACTGCGCGTTTGTATTGCTACTTTGACGTTGGTTGCCAATCCGTAAGCAACTTTGGCAGTTGCTGTTGTTTTTACAGCCATACTGTTTTATGCAGTTGTTTTGACGCAACAAGGCTTATAAGAAACAACTTCATAGCACATAACCTATAATTTTAAATAAAGCTACATAAGCTAACGCAAGTGTAACTGTTTTATAGATGTTTGTTTGTTTTGCTAATAGATAATATAAAATTTAATTGAGATGCAATTTCCAGCCAATGCAGACGTACTGTTGTTAAAGTTGGTGTCAATCTAAGCAACAGTGCAAAAAGAAATGAGTTTATTTATAAACAGTTTTCTGGGTTTGCTTTGTTGCTATCGTGGTGTAGCTCGTGCAGCAGTCTTGATATCCAGCCATAGCGCCTCCTAGGGATAACGCTGATATTGGTGGCTTGAGGAAATTCCTTAGCAAACTGTTCCAAGGCCCTCTTTGCACCTGCATAGGGGTTCCGTTTTGCTCCAAGCATGTGCCCGGTAATTGCATAATACAAGCAGCGCATACGAATGGTTGAGGACTCACAGCATTCTATATTAAAGTCCGCATTGCGTACTGCATAGGGAGGTGCGTTCTCTCGAAGCAAGTCAATATTTGAAACGTGCACGATCATGCCGTTAAGTCCTT